CGCCATCGTCTAGGCCCGCCCCATCGTACGCGACAGCCAATCAGCGTCCACAGTGTCTACTTCAGCCAATCCCACTGCAAAGTTCAGGGTAGTTTTATTTTGGCTCTAATCTTTGATTTTCTAATCAGTCTCCAACATAATAATCTAAGTTTAAACTACTAAACAAATTATTATGAGAATAATTTTCTGCTCATTTCATGAGCACCTGTTTATCATACGACCTCCCTATATACAGAAGTAGACTTGAATAGAATTTGTTTTAAGAGTTGTAAGCTTATATAGGGGCTTTCCTCAAATAATTGGATGCTATTGAAGTTTCAACTACTCATAATAATTTAAATGATATTTGAAATTTAACTCTTTATTTTCTTGTAAAAGTAAGCTGTTATATAAGAGTGATGCTGGTAATTTCTTGAAGTGTTGTGAGTGCTTTAATGTTGTACTGACTAATAGGATATTTCAACTTTTTGTAACAACCACAGATAGGTTTCAAGACAATGTAAGCACAAACAAGAAGGTCTCTGTGAAAGTAATGCTTTGCTAGCAGGTTGATCAGTTGTTTAAATTGACTTATGATGGGCAATCTGCTGGAAAGTTTCTTTATTGGTGTCGAATGTTCGATACATTTTTGAAACATTGTCTCCAACAGAGAAATCATCTATCAAGTTGGCCATTATACATCGATTTTACCAAATTCACTTCTACTAATCTAACTGTGTGATATCTTATTGTCATTGTACTGAAAGTTAACATTATATAGACTTGAATATATCATATTAAAATGATTTTGATAAATAAACATGGTGTTGCAGTCCATCTGGCCATGTCCGGTCAGGCTCTGTCTGAAAGTAGCTCCAATGTAGTATCCTTTGCACAATAATCCGTTGTAAGGCTGTCATGTCCAAACCACAACTAGCACTCCCTGCATATTTCCATAATCTATCTACTGTAGGAAAATGACAATTTTTCAAAGACCATTCCAACAGTCCAATTGCACAAAAAAACATAGACAATACGTCTTCAGTTACATGGGGTATG